CTATTTTTGTATTCATATGAAGCAGAATTTATTTCAAAAAACTTATACATTAGAAAAAGAAAATACTTGCTGTTGACTTCAACTCGACATTAAGATATATAGACGACGTATTATCAATTAACAATAGTCACTTCCATTTAAATGTCGACTCGATATATCCCAGTGAACTTGAAATAAAAGACACCACAGTGTCTGACAAATCTGTTTCATATTTGGATATTTTACTAAAAAAAAAAATTGGACGCTTATGGTAGCCTAACAACAAAACTTATGATAAACGTGGTGACTTCAACTTTTCTATCGTCAATATTCCTTATTCGTGTAGCAATAATATCTTTTCACCTGCAGATGGAGTTTATGTCTCCCAGTTGGTTTGATACGCAAGAGCATGCTCTACGTACGAACAATTTCTAAAACGAGACAAACAAGTTGATGAAACAATGATATCAACACTTTTATTTAATTAAAGTCAACATTTTGCAAGTTCTATGGTCGATACAATGACCTTGTCAGCAAATAAAATCTATCATTTAGTCAAATGCTGACTGACGTTTTTCATACTAATTGTTAGGCTGTTGTTTACACACTGAATTGTTTACGAAATGTTCCGTTTGCCCGATCATGATGAGGAGCACACGGCGGGTGTGACCGGTCGACAGGCATGCTTACTCCTCCATGGAACCTGATCCCACTTCTGATGTTTTAGAGGCCCGTGTTTGTTCTGCTCCCGATTTTTTTTTAAATTTCAATTGATTTTTGAGCTTGATTACTGTTCGTTATATCCATATTTCCTATAGAGAAAATTGCCTAGTAGCTATAGTATAGTTGATTATGAAAGATAAGTTATTATATCAGTCAAAATTGTTCATGTAAATGCTGGGGAAAAAAACAGTAAGGACAAGATGACTCAGGTGAGAATTGTGGCCCATGAGCCTCTTGCTATGTTACTATTTGCTGGTGACTTTTCTTCTTTCCACCCTCTTTTTTTCTTTACTTCCCCTCCCTTCCTTTGAAAATGGTGTGGAAGGACTTGCGTACAAGTACTTGCGAGCGCTTAGCTACGCCCCTGGCTAAGGCTTCATGCTTGTGAAGGATTAAGTTATGAAGATTTTACGATATAAAATATTTGAATTTTATAGCAAAAAATATTTGTTTAAAGTATATGATATCGATTCAAAAAGTATATTTTTGGGACCGGTTTGTTTTCAACACTTTCTTCAATGTTCCTAGCATACTCTAGTATTGATTTATTTATTAAAGTATATGAATTTCCAAACTTATGTAGTATATATTATATGCTGTCATTTAAATGTCATAAGTATAAAACTTTCAAGTGAATATAAATTTCAATATATTTTTTTTTGTAATGTGGTAATAAGGAAACCCGTATGTGACGGTACATATTGTCGTTTTGTACATATTGTCGTCGGCGACAATATGTACCTACCATCACTGCACATATTGTCGTCCTTCGATACATATTGTCGCCGACTGAAAAGTTACATCTGTACATATTGTCGCTGGCGACATTATGTGCCTCACCCTCACTGTACATATTGTCGCCCCTCAGATATTGCTGTTTAAAGATGTCTTTTGTTGTTTTTTGGTAGTTTTGTGAATGTAATTGGTGTGAGAATCACACTGACGTGTCTCGTATGCTATTTTATGCAGCATGATTGTGACGGTACATTTTGTCGTCCTGTTCATATTGTCGCCGGGGACAATGTGTACCTTCCCTCACTGCGCATATTGTCGTCCATCAGTGTTATTGTATATGTTAAGTTAATTATTTATTTATGAAATTTTACCTGTGGACTAAGTATATACAAGTTAAAGAAACAGAATTTACCAAAGCAAAAAAAAAAAAAAAAATCAAACTACCAAGCGATGGGGGGGGGGGGGGGGTGCTACATCTGTCTTTGGTGTTTGAGAAGATTTTTAAAGATTTTCTGTATATATTCCTATGTAGAACTTTGATCACCCATTATGGCCCCACATTACCCCTGGGGTCTTGACTTGAACAGAATTGATTTTGTTTTTGTTTGTTGTTAAAATGTCCCTCTCGAGAATTTTTTATTCATATTTAGAGGTCACCACTTTCCGGTGGAGGGCTGTAAATTTAGACCTATACTTGGCACTTAGGATCATTGAGCAGTGAGGGATCTTTTTTGTGCCAGCACCTCAAAATTGAACGTACGCTATGAAGCTTTCACATAAGTATCATCTCTTCTGACCCAGTAGTTCTTGAAAAGAAGATTTTGGAAGATTTTTTTCTAAATATTCTATGAAAAACTTAGACCATCTATTGTAGCCACACTTATCTCCCGAGGGACATGATCTGAATAAAACTGAATCTACATTTTTAATGAAGCTTTCACACAAGTTTAAACTTTTCTGACACAGTGGATGTTGAGAAGATTTTTAGAAGTCACTAACTTTTCACTTATTCTTCACTACAGTGTACTTCCCCTGAAAGAGGGCATGGCTCTTCATTTGAACAAACTTGAATCCCCTTTATCCACGGATGCAAGTGTGGCAAGTATGGTCGAAATTAACCCAGTAGTTCTTGAGAAGAAGCTAAAATTATGAATAGTTTACAGACAGATGGACGGTCAGGCAAAATATAATCAGTAAAGCTCACGAACTTCCAGTTCAGGTGATCTAAAAATGTTATTTTTTTGCGTTATTCTTATATTATTATTAACAATAAATTATATTTATAATATTATATAGGCACATGATCGTATATAAGAATAACGCAAAAAATAATTTCCAAATAATCATTACTATACTGAACAAAAAAAATATACCTGTATTCAATCTCCAAGTATATGTTACAAGAAAAAAAAAGAATAGCTGATTTATCAGATATGTCAAGAATTACGGTATCTATATATGTCATAGTGATGTACATAATTCCTGGACACAATTTTCTGACCAAAAAGTTTTCTCCCTACAGTATTGTGAGTCTTGCTGTCTGTCTCCCTCCGTGTGTATGTGTGTTTGTCAATCTCTCCTTCTTTTCTCAAGTAAATATTCAGCAAAACAATATATCGACGACAATATATGCCAACCTTGACTGTACATATTGTCGCCGACGACAATATGTGCTTGTGCTTGACTGTACATTTTGTCGTCCATTATGCAGGAGGAAAATAAGGCTCGTCTCGGTACATATTGTCGCCGGCGACAATATGTACCGATGGACGACAATATGTGCATTGAGGGTAGGTACATATTGTCGCCGACGACAATGTGTACCGTCACACCCGTATGAAGGAAACTCGGGTAGAACGGAAACCCCGTATAACCATGTTTTACTGTATCCTGGGTAAGATTTTATTTAATTTCTGTTTCAACCTCATCTCCCGGAGTATTTCTTTGCGTATTGGAATTGTTATCCTAGAGAGGATTCGGTGGATTTTTTTTTCAATGATCAAAATTTGCAATAAAACTTTCATTATAAAGGGGGAGGGAGAATCATATAAATTGTCGAAGTTTACCTGATAAAGAAGAAAGCTAGGAAGGATAAACTGATGTTTAAAATGTTTCAAGCACAAGTATACAAAATGTTTTTATAATTCGGTTAATTTTCCTCGGATTCTCGCCACTGATCCCAAAAGTCACGCATCACCCTGGGGTAAAACTGCAGTCTAATATCCGTTTTTTATTCAATATAATTTCTTAATTGAAGAGAATGTAGAAGATAGCGGAAATCGTGATGCCGGGACATTGGAAAATTTGTCTTCAATTATTTCTTAATAGCTCATTACGACATCAGGAAATTCCTCACTTTCTTGTAGCACCTGCCTCGTGCCTGTGTAGTCCTCCGGCAGTCGTAGAAATTCTCTGTTAATTTATCAATTAATGAGCAATTGTTTTCCGATACCATCCCAATGAATAACGCTGGTAAGTAGATATGAATTAGGGCATCTGTGTAATTGACTGCAAGGACACATGGTTTTATCCGACGACAGACTATTTTCATAGTATCGTTATTTCGATTTTATATACATTGTATATTTAAAAAGTCAAAACTGTTGACCATCATCCCTTTTTTTAATGAGGAACATGTGTATGTAATTTTTTTTAATCACGTAAGACTTTTATAACATGTGTTAAGTTGAAAGTAATTCGACAGGTAATGAAAAATCAATTTGATTAAAATTTCATACGAGAACAAAGTATATTGCGTCTATTTAATTACTTTGTGAACTGCGGGCAAAAGGCCGTGATAGCGTCAGTTTCACCTTAATTAGCTCGGACACGTGCCATTAATCGCGGCCAGTGTTTATCACTCAGCAGGGACAACGGAAGTTAACAGTTCAAGATACGGAGTGGCTCGGCATCAAATTTATTACAATCATTTCCATTAAAATCAATTTAATAAATTTGAATTTATGTGCTGAAATAAATAATAAATGCATTTTGACGCGTAAATTTGTCCGGTGGGAAAAATCAGTTGACTGACCACTCAGATTTCATATACATGTGATTTCATTGTGCTTTTCGCAGGGTTTCCACAACGATGCAACATAACTTTATTCTGAGTAAATTAAAAAATAAAATGATAATGGATTTTATTGGAATCTTTCCATTGATGATCGACCAGTCTAGTTACATGCCTTTAAAGATTGAACTTAACAGTGTATATAAAGGCCGTATCAACTTGAGCCTGTGGTTTCGACTTCTATAAAATCTGAAGAACCTTTACAAGTAATTGAGTAATCGATTAAGTACTCGCATTGTTATGAAAGGAAGAAGGATGAAATAAAAATAAAAATTTATATTTATCTTATAAAGAAAACAATATTTTTTAATTGATTTGCAGAAGACCTTTCTTCTAAGTTTTTATTCAAGATATGCACTTTCAGTTGCAGATATCATAAATACAAATAAAATAAGACTAAACATCAAATACAACACTTCCTTTGGAACACAACGTATAATAAGTAGAAAAAAAAGCACTAATGTTTTTCGTAATTAAAAATAGCCTTTATTAAAACGTATTGCACTGAACGTGGCGTTTGATATCGACTAATCATGCCTCTGACGTCACGGAGTCAAAGGTTGATTTATATCATCCGAACGTTCGTCGGTATCTCGAACACACTTTTGCCTCGAGTTTCCAAGTAAGGAGTTTCTCTCGTTCTCCAAAATCGGCGAAAATGACACCCGTTCTGAAGTGGACTTTGATTTGACACTGAGTTCTGCTAAAAGATTCTGGAATGATATGTCTGGTGTAGGGGGCGTTAGTTTCACAAAGTTCGGAGGATACATCAAACCGCGCATGGCGAGACTGTATATTTCTGGTGACATCAAATGTTGTGTCCCGTAAAAACTGGAAACAGATGGTGTCTGTCCAAAAGTGCGCGCATTTCTACCTTGAATCTGAGAGTGATAAGCTTTGAATAAAAGATCTGTGTAGCTTTGAGGGGACGGGACGATCGGTCGGGGTCCTAGTGCCATCCCTGGGGTCGGGTACCCCATATAAGGGCTGTAAGGGTGACACTGCGGTCCAACCTTTTCCTTCTTTCTCCATTTCGCTCTGCGGTTTTGGAACCAAACCTGAATGAGATAAAAAGCTATTGTATATTTGAGTACCTTACAAAAGTCAAGTACAAATTTTGTTAAATAGTAAATAAAGTTTGATTCAGTTCTATTTCCATTTTTCTTTTGATCTATGTGCACTTTACTTCTTTAATATTTTTACTGAGAATGATATAATTTATTCCAGTCTATAAAGGACGCCCTAATGAAAAAGATCCTATTAAATTCGAAGTTTTTTCCTAAACACCTAAGTGGTTGTTGATATCTTAAATGTAGAACTTACACCTTGTTTAAACAGATCTAATTAAATTCCGAAAATGTTTTTAATATCACCACTATTCCTTCTGCAAACAAATTAATAATTCGAAGCGTCACATTGACAATGACTTTGATTGTTCGTAAATGGCGGTGACATGTTTGATTTTAAGTATCAATGTCCCTACAAATTCAAAATCATCCTCCATTACCGGCGTTTTTGGTACTTGAATGGAGTGTGGTTTTGTTCGACAGAGGGCCCTTGATTAGTTGAAGAGATGAGTTTGGTATATTAGTCATGGACAAGAGCGAATTTCTTCTGAAAAACTCTGGACGAAGGGAGCGTTTGAAAAGCTGTTTCAACAAGAGCAGGCGATCAAGAGGTTCCTGAAATATTATCTGTTTTTCATGCGTAAACATTCCATTTCATTGGGTTACTTTCCATTTAAACTCGGTCCTTTTAAGTGTGATTTTTAAACACAATATAATTTTAATCTAATTGTGATGTTTTTTAAAGTAGTCACTTTTTATCCAATTTAAACAAAATGCCATTATCTAGAAAACGAAATGTGATTTCTATCGGCCTTGTATTACAGTGATAGTCTTCAGAGAAAGCTTTTCATCTACACCGTTTAATAAAGTTCTTAAAACTCCATGCGTTTGACATGGATTAAAAAAAAAAGAAGGACGTTCAATTCAAATCATCTGAATTAAATTTCTAATGACATAGTAATGAAAAAATGTTTGAAATTTAATTTTTGTGTTGCCTACCGGTATGTAAAATAAAGTTTATGATATGAAAAAAAACGAATAAAAAGTAAGCGTAAACGTACCTGTACTCTTGCCTCGGTTAGATCTATTCTCATTGCTAGCTCCTCTCTGTAAAACATAAAAAAATTTTTTTTTTTTTTTTTCAATGTTATAATTTTGCATGTTAAACTTTTAATATAACATAATGGCATTGATATAACTTAACTCATTCGTCATTATTAAATAAAATATTATAAATAGGATTGAGATTAAAATGGCAAATACCTCCACATAACAAATGCGTTTTGCAAAAAACAATTCCCTACCTCATAAAAACATCGGGATAGTGTGTTTTCTGAAAAGCTCTCTCTAATTCCTCCAGTTGAAAGCTAGTAAATGTCGTCCTATAGCGTCGCTGTTTTCGTTTCCCATAATCCTCAAGATCCCGGTCTCCGTACAGTTCCGGATTGGACCGGAAGTCAATCGGAGAACCGTCTATTTGTACTCTCCTAGTTATATCTTCACCATCATTAGATGTGTCTTCACCAACACTCGGCGGCATTTCATATTTACGGTCACTTACTCCTGTCTCGTCCTTTATTACATTTATTTTTACATCCGGGGACTGGGGAAACGTGTTCAGTTTGAAATTCTGCTGAGCTTCATTGTCCTCTCCTTTTTCGTCATTGTTAGAGGCGTTGTCTGCAAGGTAAGATTTGTTGGTCATGTAAGAACAGATACTTGTGATCAGGGTATGATTATTTTTTGTTTGTTTATATGAAGACTATCTTTAATAAACCTCACTTAGCCAATGAAATGCTGTATCCTCCTGTTTTGAACGCATTCTCTTTATGATTTCTATCGTTATGATTGGTGAATTAAGAAGAAAACATATCATGTCAATTTCGTATTTACATCCACCCATTAAATTCTAAATGTACAACGTGATAGATGGATGGGGTGGTCTGCGTTCTTAAAAAAATACGATTGTTCGGATAACCTTGTCCTTTTCTTAGTTACAAGTTTTTCCGCGTAAATAAAATTCTCGTACATATATGTACATAATTACTCGAAAAATTGATTTTTTTGACAAGGTTATGGTAATTAAATTGGCATATAATTGGCCATTTGCAGCATCAGTTAAAATTTAATCGTAATGAGCAAATAAAGAAGCCTCTTGGATAATTTCTCAATAATTCTGTAAACACTAGTAGCCTTGTTACTGTTAGAATGACGGGAATTTATTTACACATTTCATTATAGGAAACGATTAATGCCCAACACTTACAGTTTTTTTTATTTGGAATATCAAATTTGGCTAATTATGGATGCTAGTTTGAATGCTTTTTATTTACAAATGAATAATTCATTTAATATGACTCGAGGTTTTCTGTGTAACAAGGAAAAAATCTTAAACAAATAATTAGGTATGTACTGACACAAGCTGCTATAGTTGAACACTTCTTAATTGGAATTGTATTTAATGTCTGCGAGTCTGATTTTGTGCTACATATGGAAACTGTATTCTCTGGGTGTTCCTCTTATACCTTTTACAACTATATATATATATATATATATATATATATATATATATATATATATATATATATATATATATATATATATATATATATATATATATATATATAAAACCAATTCAGAATATTTCATTTTTACTTTCGATAGACACCCTAACATACCGGACAATAACTACAGTATAATCCATACTTAAAGATGATTATTCCAAGAAAAACAGAGAATCTTCCGAAATACTGTTTAAACTATTAAAGGAGAGAGAGAGAAAGAAAGCGAGAGAGAGAGAGAGAGAGAGAGATGCATGCTGAAACTACATTTACAATAATATTTCAATTTGAGTAAGAAAATATATATTAATCGCTGAAAAAGTTCAAACTATTTTTGATGATATTATAACAAAAGTTTTATATTTTCCTTTCACAAAATGAATTCAGCTTTGCTGTCATTCATGATAAATAAGAAATAAAACTGATTCAAGAAAATAATTTGGTATAAATTCGGATTCATAAAAGTTTTGGGTGATGAATTATGCACTAAATTTATAAATATTTACGGGTTTTGTTTTGTTTTGATATTATAATTATCACATCGGGCGCAGAATTCTGTTTGATTCATAAAGTAGCGCGAAGAGAGACAGCGGAAATTGGTCTTTTTTCTAATAAACATTTTATTTCATTGTAACATAATGGAAATAAAGGAAATATGAATTTTTAAACAAGAAATGATGATCAGAATTGTGAAATCAATCAATGATTCCAATAATAGACCTAATCGATAAAATACCCTCACGACTTCTCAATATATTTTTAAACAATTTGATCCAGCTTCACAATTTGTTAAATAATTTAGATTCGACAAATACATTTATCCGACATATATATTAATTATCTCAAAAATCAGCAATTATAACTATTATTGAGAGACTCTCCTCCTTCATTTATTAATTAAGCAGTCCATTGGGATAAAGAAATTTGACTGTTATAAAGATCATTCATGTTATTTTCATTCATTAGTGAAAAAAATCCTGCAATTATAAAAAAAAAAAAAAAGAGGAATTTGCTACGGTCATGTGGCAGATCCTATGCATACTGTAAGAGGATTTCTGCATCGTTTTTAATGTCATGCGTAAAATTGAAATAGTCATAACATCTGTACTTATCAAAAAGGGATTAAATAATACTAATGGTTTTGTCTTTAGAATTTGTAATAAATTTAAATGACTTAAAAAAGAATTATTTAATAGAAACTATTTTTATTAGACTAAATGCATGTACTTTTTTTTTCATATTAATATTTATTCTGAAAGCCCCCTCTCTCTCTAACACCCTACATTTTCTTTTCATTTATCCAAAAAAAAAAAAAAATAAAATAAAATAAAACAAAACAAAAAAACTGTTGGATTGTATGTTTCACTTGTCTTTATATACGTTTTTTTTCTTTGTGTTGGAGAAGACAATCTAAGTTGGTAACATGTTTAAATCATATCTATAAATAGACAAAAGTTACCAATAACGACGCAACTGTCTGATTCAGATGTCCATTTAATACCAATGATGGTTCTCGCAAAGTTTTTAAGTAAGGATGCGCGATTTTATCGGTATACCGGTATATTGCGATTTTTTATTGCATGATACGTATCGTGATACGGAGACTAAAATACCAGTATTTGGTACATAACTATAAATTCCGGAAATTATTCATTTATTTGTTCAAACTATTGAATGACAATTACAGGAAGTGTAAAAAATGTTGAAAACAGTTAAACAACGGCATTCAAACATGCTTTATATTAAATAAATAAAAATTGAAAAAAAGTAAAAATATGTTTTTATAACATTTTTAAAGAAATATTATGGAAATTCATTTGAAATTGTAGTAAAAATTGTGTGTAAAAATATTACGATTTATCGTGATATTTTTGGAAAAAATCCTGATATATCACGATAAGAAAGTTTTGCCGATACCCATCCCTATTTTTAAGTTGGGTGTTCCAGTTTGGCTGAGAATATCGCTTTCCATAATGTATTTTAATACCATTTTCTCAAAAGAATAGAAAAAAATTCAACGTTTAGTATTTATCAATCAATCATATTTTCAGGAGTGATTAATGTATTGAAGGAAACCGAAGAAAACTTTGATATAACTGTCCTCAACTGTTTAAACAAGATACTGATCCTGAATAAGGTTATGTTTAGTATTTTTTTGGTCGTATCCTTTCGTAATTTAGCAATGATACTCGAGAGACGGTGTTCTGTCATAAAACATAAAGATATTATCGTAACTTGTCTTGACAGATATTTTGTTCCGAAAGAAATAAAAACAATTGACGTCCGTAATACTAGTGATAATGACAACTCCATTGTTGATGATTTTAAAACACTTAAAAAATCACTTTTAACTTGAATGGGACACAATGTAAGTCTCCTTAAATCAGATCTATTTAAGAAAAGATTTTCATGCAAATATAACATCATTAAAGCTATGATAAATACATTAAAAAAATCGAAAAGATTTTAATAATCGAGGTAACTTTTCCCATCTTTTACAACCGTCTTCTCTCCCTTTTCTCTCTCTCTTTTCCCCTCTCGTTCTTTGTATTTTAAATTTGATGATTTGTACATTACCTATATATATTTTGTTGTTTGGTACAGCGCATATATTTTTTTGTTGGTTGGTACAGCACATATATTTTTTGTTGGTTTGTACATCACGTATATTTTTCGCTGGTTGGTACAGAACGTATATTTTTTGTTCATTTTTTTTTTTTTTGTATTGAAGAGCTAGGGCAATCTTAGGTTAAAAAAAACGGTGTCCAAATCCGATTAATTATGACTCAATAAAACAATTTTAAATTGATTTAAATCATATTTAAAACATCACAAGGAATTTGCTAGGAATCCTTACATGTTTTGTATGCCTTGTATGTATATTTATCTTTTCTCTCCTTAATATTATCTAAGGTTTAAACGTGATGGATAATTTGGAACAGAATGATAATTTAATTGAAACATAGATTATGACAAACTAAAAACATTCAAAAATTATATCATTTTGAATATTTATCACCCTACTTGTATACCGTATTCTTTGCTACATGTAAATTAACGTGATTTTTATTAATAAAGTATAATAAAATTTCAAAAGCAACTTTATTTTTAAAAAAGCAAATAAATGACAAGAATGTCAGGTTTCTTCCGTATTTTCAATAAAAAAAAAGCTGAACAATTGCTTAAGTCTTCAATTTTCCCGTATTTCCTTCAGGACCAGTTACTTTTGTCTCAATTGTATATATCATTATCAACTCGGTCGACTAAATATATTAAATTAAATTGTTTTTAATTCTTTAATATATATTTTTTCAATAACAACTCCATAGTTGATATTGATAAGTGCATATTTTGAAAAAGATTGAAATGACAAGCTTGATATCATTACCAGAAAATAAAAATTTAATTTTAATTTAGTGCACAATTAATAAAAACGATAAAATGAAATATTAGTAAATCAAGCCAGACACCGCACACACATTAAATAATTTACATTGTTTTTTACAGCTTTCGATGAAAATCTTAATAAATGTCGGTATGTCAGTACACTTTTAAAAACATGTAACTTCAATATAATGGAACAGTGGCACTCGTAAAGAGGAGAGAAAATGTTTATTAATCAGGTGAACAGCGTGAAAAGATCGATATTCTACATAAGTATATAATTTATATTATATAATAAACTCGTCGGCATGGCATCTTAATTATCTATACAACGTGCAAGATTCTCTACTCTACCTAACTTTACCATTGAGAAAATGAAAATAATTTTGAATTAAACACAGGAGACCCTAAAATTCTCCCTCCCCTCTATAGTTTAAAAGAAAAAAAATCTAATAGTTACATACAAAATCTATGAAAATTACTGCAAGAACATGGTTTTGTCACCCAGATCCCCCCCCCCCCCTCCCCCTTTGCAAGTCCTCTCCTTTCGAAATTGGTTGTGAAGGCCACGGAACATAGTACAATTAAATGACTGACTAAACCCTTGATACTGTTTTATTACATTGCATGATAATTACCTGAGGTAAATTATTTCATTAGATTTATTACACAAATTGAAAACAATTTCCATTCTGTATATGTAACACCAAATGAATGCAATAATAAATTACATATACAAGACGTGGAAAATAAAATTACA